ATATATATATATATATATATATATATATTAATTTCCATATACGTTTTAATGTTGCAAGTATTATGCTGCGTTTTTACGCGTAAAAAATAAATATTAAATAAAATATCTGTTATTATAACGAAGATTATTAGTATGGTTACTGGAAATAATATTTTCTTATCCTTACATGTATATATATAATGCAAATAAATGTATAATTGATGAAAACTTGTTTTAATTTATTCATTAAGAGAGAATCGATCTTCACCATGGACGCTTTTATTATAACTTATTTTAAAGGAATAAGAAAACATAATTTTTTACAAAGCAGCAAGTCCCCAAAAACTGTCTAAAGTTAGAGGTCCTTGTATTTCGACTCCTTTTTCTTTTGTAACAATGCCAAGATGATACTAAAAAACAGAGCAGATTGTTGACAATACAATTAAAATTATTAATTACACACGTACGAATTTTAGTTTACCTTTGGGAAAGATCTTGCGTCTCTGTAGAAAAGAACTTGCATTACTTTGTACAGAAGTTCGATAGCTTCCTCCTTATTCATTTGGTTATTATCCTCGTAAGCTTTTCTCAATATAGGCGTTGACATGTAAGCACCATATCCAGTCGCAATAACTGGATCGTTGTAAGCTGTCCCAAGCTTATCCACAGTTCTTAAAAATCTGAAAAGGCAAAACTGCGATTTACGATGTACTTGAAGACACGAAGTGTGTTGAGGAAACGTACACTTACGGTTCTCCATTTTCCAAACCAGCAATAATAAAATTGTTCAAAAACGGATCGAAATTTGATCGTCTGTTATACATGACACGCGTTAGCCAGCAATGCAATGCCTTTGGCTTTAAACTAAATCCATCATCCAAGCATTGCTTCTCAAGACTGAAACAAAAGTATTGACGTAAATTAGCGCTTTTGATACTTATTGGAAACTCTAATGTATTCTTATATCGTACAATAACTTTACAAAACTTTTATTAGTTTATTACATAGCACTCTACGTAATAAACTAAGATGTATTATTTGAAGAATATTAAAAACATGTAAAAAAAAAAAAAAACTATGCTGAGACTCACATCTTTCTTTTCACATAGCTCTTGATGCACTGAAAATCTGCATAATCTCCGGACGCACCAAGGATGATGTTATCATTAACTTTCATAAGACGTTCCAGATTTCTGTAACGAGCGAGCGATCCGTAAGATCCTAGGACGTCTGCCGCTATAATAATTCCATCTTTGAATTGTATGCCAATGACAGATGTGCCAGTTGTTATAGGAGACATGTAAATAATAGAATGAGTTAAAGTAAGCACTTATCATATCTTCATACCATTTCAGAAATTTATCTACCAGTCTTAAGTATTTTGAGTTTCACTTTACTTTGTCGCTCTGTAAAAGAGAAGATGACATGCGAGATTTGCATCATCACAGGAATGTACAGAGAAACTTTAAACTAAGCGGATGGAAACGTTTGTAAATTATCGGATGAAAACGTACTATGATTTCTGAAACCAACGGTGCCGTACTCGCTGCCGGGAAAGTGATAAAATGCGTTGCCACTTCTGGAGCTCCCTGATGGAGTCGCGGTCGTCGGAATTCCTGGCTTCGGCCTGTCCGCTGTCCCTCTCTCTCGCTCTCCCCTTTCGCACTCGCTTCCTCTGCTCTTCCTCGTCGTTCTCGGCTACTCGTCTCTGACATCGATCACTACGCACTTTCCTCGTCACACCTCCTCGCCTTGAGTATCGGCGACTCGAGTTTACTCGTCGTACCTCCTCAGAGGGAAAACACCACCACTGCACCCGTCGCTCTCTGTAAGGTTAATCGTCGCGATACACGACGCGATGATGACGGCCATGACGCGCGACGGCGAGAATGACGCAATCCCGACACTGGAATATCACCACTAATGTAGCACATAACTTGACAAAACCGTCTTAAGTCGACTATTTGGTCGACTTGAGCAAGACTGGCTCAAGACAAATCTTAAGTAAGAACTTAATGCCATTTCGCAATCCCTGGTAAATTCTTGTAAATCTTTATCACGATTGGTCAAAAAGCTTGGATTCCCGAACATTGCTGAACATTGCTCTCTTTAAGGTTAATCGTCGCGGTACACGACGCGATGATGCTCG